GGTGAGCACTCGTTTAAACGTTTTTACGTTTTCTCTTCTTCCATTGTTGTCCAAATACATTAAACCCATGTGAAACTTCGCCATAGCGAAAGCATAACGTATCCATAGAGTTTGTCTAACGAATGGCGAACGAACACAGAGAGTATACCGACTTACATCAACTTTCACAAGGCATTCACCTACTGTATCATGCTTGACGCTAGTCTACCGATATAGCAACGTGAGTGCACAGTGTACAGCTTCAGTACACGTAGCGTTTTTCAGTCTGTGATGTCACAGCGACTGCGAGTATTCACGTCATATTGATCTCTTATTTGCCATGCATCAAAGGACTGGTTCTGTCTAATACGCGTGTGCATGAGTGTGAAATAATATCGCTTTAATCGGATTTGAATTCCCAACAAAGCCTCAATAGACAGTATAGACAGCAGAAGATCCGGAGTTGAAATCCCTGTTTGGGTTACCTATTTCTTCACAATCAGATTCCTCTCCTTTAATATCTAAAATTAATTTATATATATTTTCAGCATCACTGCAAGACAGTTTATCTCTTTCATATCATTATATCTTTATAAAAAGCATCTCTTCGGAAACCTCGGGGCATACATATACACACATATACACACATATACACACATATACACATACATACACACATATACACACATATACACATACATACACACCACGAATATTTCGTCCACTCATGTGGACTTCATTAGCGTGAGTGATATACATTAGAGATACTTAGCTACAAGTTGCCTGAAATTTAATTGGCCTATCAACAAAGCATGGGCGGTACTAAACTTAATGCGAAAAAACAATAATAGTAAATAAGAATTAACTAGAGAGCTGAGTTGTTATCTTTAAGAGTGCTTACTAGCAAAGACAATGTCTTAATGCTAAGTATAGATAAACAATAAGAAATGAGAAAGCAGATAATGGCTGTTCCCACGATATGCTGACTGTGAGGGGATGGCTTCTAAACAAATACAGAAATAGGATATAAGCAGGAAATGGAAAATTATAAATAGGCAAAATAAAGCACTATATGTGGATAACAATATGGAACAGAAATATAAAATATGTAAAATAATATAAAATAAATATATAATGAAGTCTGTAGCATAGTCAAATAAATATACAGGAAATGAAATAGGGTTGGAGTGAACAAAGTATAGCCTTACATAATTATTATCTTTGATGAATGTATATTCACTGGCAAAGCCCATATCCTTACTAAGACCTTTTTTGTGGGTTTTTAGGGGGAGAATCCAACGGATTTCCGCACTACGTCTTTCTTTAGTAGATATGAAATTAATTTGTAGAATAAGAAATGAGCTGCAACTGATTTGCTCATGCTTCAATTGCATCTAATAGTGCATTTGTGATTATTAAGTCTCGCCCTGATTTTGGTACCTGTTTCACCTACGTAGTTGCCATGGTTACACTTACTACAAAAGATGAGATAAATAACGTTAGAAGCATGACAGTCTAGGTTGGCGGGTGTACGATTTCCGTGAATCCTGGTATTTTGAATCTATGTCCTGTAGTGATTATATTACATAATTGACATCTAATGTCTTTGCATGGTTTGTTACCTGTTTTGTGGAGAGGTTGTCAGTTGGTAGTTTAGATGATGTTATGAGCGATTTAAGATTGGGGGGGTTGCCTGCGTGCGATTATGATTTGAGTATTTTGTAATCAGTTTTAATGGCATCTGTAAATGGTTTGGTGAGAGGATAGTCTAATATAAGTGGTATGCAGTTGTTATTAGGCTTTTCGTTGTATGTGAGGAGCTTCCTACGGCAGCTTTGATTAATGGCATGGATAGTTTGGTCGAAAAAAAAATTAGATACGAGTGTGGATAGTCGTTTGTGATAGTCGGTGGTGTAGGAACAAATTCGTTTTAGACGAAGGCACTGGCTGCAGTAAACGATAGACTTTTTCAGGCTTGTGGGATGGAAGCTGTTGAAGTAAAGATATTTATGGTTGTCAGTGGGTTTAATGTGGATGGATGTTGAGATGGTACCGTTTTTGAGTGTGGATGTTATATTTAAAAACGGGATCTGAGAATCCGATGATCATTCGAGTGTGAATTTTATGCTTGGATAAAACATGTTGATATGGGTCTCAAACTGGCTGAGTGTTAGGGCCGTGTTCCCATATTATGAATATGTCATCTATGTAGGCCCTATCTAGTATAGAATGTGGGTTGAAGAGGTAAACTAGATAATATGCGTTCTTCTAAGTCAGCCATGAATATGTTGGCATTTTTGGTTTAGTCGCATCAGCTATCAGTTTATAGGCAGTTTTGTGTAATTTTGGTACACAGTAGAGTGTTCCCGGTGTAGGCATAAGAGGTATAAGATGCTGGACAGATTCATCAAATTCAGATATTGTTATTCAGATACTGCACGTTGTTCACTTTTAGTTAGATTATTGGAGCTCTGCTGAGTATCTTTGATATTGTCTTGGATGAACATATCTAAATGAACTTTAGCTGCATTAACAAAGCTGTCAATGTGAGGGTTTCTATTGCTTGGTGGAGACCATAGTTTGTCTATGCTGTTTACATTCCTTTTATTATATTATTATATTATTATTATATTATTATTTATTATTTTTATTATTATTATTATTATTTTTATTATTATTATTATTATTATTATTATTATTACTACTATTATTACTATTATTACTATTATTACTATTATTACTATTATTACTATTATTATTATTATTATTTTTATTATTTTTATTATTATTATTATTATTATTATTAATAATAGCAGCACTGGGGGAGAGGAGGATTTTACAATTCGTCCAAGGTACTGTATATGAAAAATTTTATCCGTAGTTATTATCCAACATAGCTGACATCTCAACTTAAGACATGGTCTGTTCCAACTGCCCGTCAGTTCGTTTTGTGGGACAGGACACTCATTTGATGATACCGGTATTGCTCCAACAGTTACAATATTGGATTATGTGAAAAATGCTAATTGACTCCCTATGTAGCGTAGTCCACAAAAACAGTTTTTCTTATTATTTGTCTTTTCCACCTGCCCTTCAGTTCGTCTTTGTGGGACAGGACACCCATTTGATAATACTGTACTATATTCTACTGGTTGTGGAAAATTGTAGTTGACTGACAATATCAAGCAGGGTAGGAACCAAAGTAATTTGTCTTACATCTTTTTTTTCTCCCTTTTCCATCTGCTCTTCAGTTCTATGTGGTTCAGGATACTAACTGATGATGGTTACAATTCTTATGTTTTTGAAAATTCTAGACATAGACACCTTTCACCTTTAAGTAACTCATACCTTTAAATTCTTAGACCATACCAATATTTTTACAGGGAACTTTACCTAAACATCAAGTAAAAAATGGTAAAATAATACCTAAAACATCAAGTTTACAGGGGCTTTTCCCCCTGGTAGTATGTGGGTTACGGGATTCACCAGGCCCCGGTAACATCCCAATCTACATTTAAGATCTGAATATATTTCCCATCCTGTCCTTGTGAGTATCTGAGAGTGCCCAGTAATAATACCCCGAAAATGTTTATTTTTATGTTTAGATGACCAGCAAAATTATGAAAAAAATTAGAACGATAAGAATGATGAGATAATTTGAATATGCAGATTTTAAAAATTAAGGACGATTACAAAAACTAAACCATTCTGTTGGTAAGTGGAATAAAAAACACACATCTACATCTAAAACTTTAATGATTATCATATAAAATTATTTTTAACTGAATGGGAAGGTATAGTCTATGGAACAAATGTCATTGTCAAATATGGAGTGTACTGATGTTTTCAAAACAGTGAACGTGATACTACAATCTACTATGATCATTATTAAAAGTTCACATTAATGTGTTACTTATAAAAATAATTGACTACTTCAAAAGCAAGAGAGATAAACATTATGAACATGATTTTGGTAATAAGCTTCAGTCAAAAGCTAACGACATATACAATGTTTACAGTGCAAATCAACATTGTGTTCATTATTCACATTTTTTTATGAACCATGGATACTGGGTCAATATTATGTTTAAAAATTAATTTATTTAACTTAGTCTGCAAGTCGTCAAATAATGTTGCCTCTATTTGCTATCTATTCTGAAGTTAAAATGTATACACACTGTACCAGCACAGCTGACATACAGACATGTATATATAAAAAAATAACAATTAGTTCAGTGGCAATTTTGCATCAATAGGGCTGCTCTATGATCACATCAAGAATGCCACGAGTACATCTGCATCAACACCAGTTGTAATAATAACAATAATAACGATAATAATAATAATAATAATAATAATAATAATAATAATAATAATAATAGAGTAATAATACAGTAATTATAATAAAAAAATAATGATAATATACAATACTGATAATAATACACAATAATGATAATACACAATAACATTAATAATTATTAGTAATAATAAATAATTAATAATAGCAATAATAACAACAACAAAATAATAATAATATATTATTATTATTATTATTATTATTATTATTATATAATAATAATAAGAATTAAGAAGAATAATTCTTGTATTGTGTATGATCACATCAAAAATGCTGTCAAACATTTGCATCAACGCCAGTTGCTAAGAATAGGCTAATTAAGACTAGTAATTAATAATAAATAATAATAATAATATTAGCAATAATAATCATAAAACAATAATAACATTATAATAATACAGCAATAATAAAAATGATAATAATAATAACAATAATAATAATAATTAATAATAATTACGAATTAAGAATACTTGTATGATCACATCAAGAATGCTGTCAATACATTTCCATCAACACCAGTTGCTACTAACAGATAACAATATAATAACAATAATAACAATAACAATAACAATAATAATAATAATAATAATAATAATAATAATAATATTGCTAATAACAATAATAATAACAATAATAATAATTACAAAATAAAATACTAAAAGAAATCTTGTATGATCACATCAAGAATGTTGTCAATACAATTTCATCAACACCAGTTGCTATACATTCCTATTGCCATGGCTTCTGGTATGATCACATCAACAAGGTTTTTCGAATGTTGCAATCAAAAACCCTGCTAATAAAATTACATAAAAAATATGTTATTAGCAATTACAATTGTAATACTAAATATTTAATCACAATAATACAACAAAATAAACTGCAAGTACTATTTTCCACAATAATCATCATTAGAAATTTTAAAATGTTTTAAAACATATAAAATAATAATTCTAATAATAATATGCAACTGATAGCTGTTGTAAAGCATCATTTATATCTAAGAATTTGAGGTTAGGATTCTTGTTACACTGGCAGCCAATTTGTTGATTTTCACAATTACCATTGATTGAGGTAGGCCTACTGTAAGTGTTATGTTACATGCAATAAGAATCATTTTTATCATATGAGGTAAAATCTCCACCCAGTTGCAATACTGAAAATTACTGACCAGTGTTTTTCAATAAAATTTTGTACTAAACTTCATAGTGTGATTACACATACCTGACACAAGGCTCAGTGGAAAACCAAATGTAGTATTATTCACCAAACAGTTTACAGAAATCCTTTACGGAGGAAAATTATGGGGATGCAAAAACACAACCAATTATTTGGAATGAAATTTAGGTCTTCTAAGATTCTAAAATGCAGGAAGTTCCTTCAGTTACAGAGCTTTATCAGAGAGAACTTTTCTCGATTCTAAACTATGAAATAATAACTAGTAATAATAATTCCAAAACCTAATTGTTATTTTCAAAAGTAGCTTATTCAACTCAATACTAAACTTAAAGGGCCATTTAAAAATCAATACACACACCACTTGGCAAATGTTGACTGTTTAGTTCCTTGGACAGAAGTTTTGTACATTTCCACCTGTAGTCTTGTCATTGAGCTTCTCGATATTTTGTTTAATGAAGACATTTTTAATGCAACCAACAAATACTCCGTCAGTAGTAATTCCATCATGCATACTATCATCTGAGAAAGAAAAAAAATATCGCATACCTAAATTTAATTTTTACTTAACTATTTATAAATGGTCTGAATTTTAAAGAACTCTGCTACATTGATCTGATCAAAACCCCCTTTGTTTCATTATAAGCATGTTTCGACGCAAAAAAAAAAAATATGCACAGGACACATCAGTGGCAGATGCAGGTGTGGCGTAACTAGAAGCAGTCAAAATTGTCCAAAAATCAACCAAAAATGTGAAATCATTAAAGTAAGAAAGTAAAATGGCTTCTGGATGGAACAGCACTTGGCCCAAGAATAGAAAAGGAAACACCACCAACCCAAACTTGATTCCAAATTACACGCCCAGCTCCCCTCACTCTTGGTCTACCACTGGACTTTTCAGAGGATTCCAATTAATGTCTAGATATGCCAAGTAATGCATATATTGTGCAAACTAATCACGCTATTAAATAAATCCATCAAAAATATGATACGGCCTGAATTTTTAAGGGTTAATTTTTTCTTCATAATACAAAAGCATGCATAGAGACTCGACACATTAAAAACTTTAACAAAAGCACATCCTACAATAACACAGATGGACATTAAACCACCATATTAAACCCTTAAAAGAATGTGTCTACTACTACTTTTCTGACTTTATTTTCCACATAACCGCATTTAACCATGAAAAGTTAATGTTATCCGAAAGATGAAGCTCAAAAAGGCTAGTGGGCATATGAACTGGCAGATCCCACTGTCATCAATTATGTTCGATGATGTGGTTACGAAAAATAATATTACTGTTATTAATATTATTCTTTAATCTACCTTACTTACCTTATGCCTAACTTGGTTAACCAAAGTGATACTATTACTGCAGTCTTTTCTTGATAACTTTTTTTCCCCGTTTTTTTTTTCATATTTACTTTTTCTGAATTATTTAATCTGTAGAAGTGGTTTTTTTTTATACTTTTTACAACTTGCATAATAATTCGATATAACTTGTAACTCAGCCTCTGGCCGCTAAGTTACATTTTACTAAATAAAGTTCAATAATAATGTGCTGTGATTGGCTTTTCCCTACATGAACATTATATTTTCTCTGTTTCTAATTTGTTACATTAACATGTTAAATTATCAGGTAGTTGAAATTGGTCGGTCACAGAATTCATTAATTAAATTAATTAATTTAAATCCACGGTCTATAAAATAATATAAACTTTTGAGTCAAAAAAGTACAGAATGTCATTATTCACGCAAGTGCAATTATCCTATCAAAAGAATAGGGCTATGTTCACACACGGCAGCTAATGGTTAGCATGATCCAAATTACAAACATGTGTTCACACGTGTGTTCATACAAGAAAATTCCCGATCCAGATATCAAGCAGATAATGATCAGATCACTGGCCAACAGGAAACTGGAAATGTGTGCGTGTAATTAGTTAACGATAGAAACACGCTCGACTTGCTTACCGATAGCGCTCGCTAACCGTCAGCATATACAGATCCTGGTAACGGTTAGTGCTAACAGTTAGCTCCCGATCTGGATACTAGGGCTCTAGCTCAGTATTCATAATTTTTATATAATTAGGACTAACCTGGCACACCGCCAAGATAAAGAGGATCTTTAGTGTTAGTTGCAGTAGTTTGTCCATCACTTTGACCATCGACACCTGGTATATTGTCCACCATGACTGTCACCAATGATCTTAGCTTTGCAACTGCAATAAGACAATAATTAATTATATTAATTATTATTATATTCTGCATCTTTTATATTTATAAATCAAATAGGTAATAATACAGTGCTCAAATATATAGCAACATGATTTTATAAATATTATCAAACATATTGTTTATCAACTAGTTGTATGAAAAAAGGTCTCTGGTGGAAATCGAACCTGCAATCTCTCGTTATCTCTCAATGGCAAGACAGGTATGAAAGATAATAAGTATGCATTATATTACTTTAACACAATGTCAAAACTATTATATAGTAAGGGGAAAACCGCCACTCAATCCCAGTCTACAAAGGTCCTGGATTGTATTTACATACTGTTTTTATTATTAGATGGAACAAATACAAAGTTGGACAGGTACAGGTACTGGTAGGGGATTAAGGGTGATTGGGGAAAGCCTACTGTGTATATGTCGCATAGCAATACTGTGCCAGAGAATCCAAAAAACCATTGTTTGTAACAAAAACATTTTTTGTGGGGTAGTTTTTAGCTGCAACATAATTAGTGGCCTAATTTTACTGGAGGTTAAGTTGGCCAGTAGTCAAGTAGAACTGTACGGAATTGAGAATTGAAATTTGAATTTGAATTTTATGTGTCCTATACCACAATACCAATACTAGAGTATAAGGAAATACAACCACAATTTCACCAAAAATTGGTACATAGTATAAAGTTGACAGCCTAATATTGCTTTAATATTGCCTAATGTTACAGTCGGCTTCAAAGCACTGATTTTGTATTTATCTTCCACAAATATATCTTCCTTAAAATCAAGGACATTCACAATTATCAAATTGGTATTTTATATACCGAATGATGAATTCTGACTTGCCCTCATTTTACTAATGGCAAAACTAATCTTAAACCTCCATTTTGCAGACCAAAGTCTGGTCCATAAAAATTGATGCACGTTATAGTCGACTCCTATGGTGACGGTGATTGGTCAGTTGAATCAGGGATTGCAGTGAAAATAATGTAGCGACTCAGTAAAAAGCTATTAAAACTGCTGGCTCCAATAACATGTTTAAAAAGTTATATAAACTAAATTTACTCAACAATTAGATTTTATAGTTAATCAATTTTCACAATTTTTGTCACAATTTTCCACTTCTCATTTGCCCCTACTTATTTAATTATTATTTTATTTAAAAAAAAATAATTTATTCATTTATGTTTATCAATTTTATTTTATTTTTTTTATTTATTATTTTATCAATTTATTTATTTGATTTTAGGTATCTTTGCATTTGTATGTGTGTTGTTGAGTCCGTGTGCTTTATTGTATAACATTTATATACTTATTAACTTTATTACAGTTACTGATTATTGAGTTTATTTTTCACTATCTTTTTGCGTTTAAAACATTATAATATTAATCATATCATTGATTTACAAGCTCTTTTGCATTTTTTTATTTTTTGGATGTCCTTTTCATCCTTTTTTATTATATATTTATATTATTCATGTCTTATCTTTTTATTTGATTGATTTATTATTGATTGATTGATAAATTAATTTGAAGTTTGTATGTTCATATTTTCTTACCATTGACAGAATGCCACTGGCCATCACAGAGGGATACACCAGTCTGGTCACTTGTAGCATTAAACGGACCATTTCCATTATCAACTCGAACAACCAACATGCCCCCTACAAGCTCAATAACAAAGAAATCTAGTTTGGTGCGGATTGACATCAGCACACCATCTGTTACTCTTGGTTTGAATTCAAAATCCACGTAGAACTTTCTATACACATTCAATTCTTCACCTGCTCATTTAAAAAAAAGAAGAGACATTTATAAGAAAGTAATTTATATAGATATAACATTGTGAGTTTAAATTTTCCAAATATTTTAAAGTGCAGCACCAGTACTGATGCATTGTGCCTTACCCCGCCTAATTTTCATGAGGGGGTTATTCAAGGAGCAGAGCGATGCAAATCCAATTTAAACCCAACGCTGGCCAAGTTTGAACTAGGGTCTACACCACAAGAAACAATATCATTACCTCTTGGCCAAATGCTCAGTGATTACGTCATGTTATGATTGCGCAAGTCTGCATGCGCTGGAAAGTGTCTTTTTGCGTATTTGTTGGTTCACTGGAAAAGCAACAATTTCAACTTGGCCTAACCCTTAGCCGAGCTACTTCATAGTTTGTAATTGTGATACTACTAATTAAAAATAAAACAATAGGTCTAGGTTAAAATCTGATGCTTGGCTACAGGTGTGACAGAAACCTGAATTGCTCGCTGCAAATAATGTGTACGCGCAAATCTACATGCACAAATTGTTCTTGGATGAACCTCTCCGTGGAGCACTATATGGCACTTGTTAATGCTAAGCAAGGCACACTGTGTACTGGAACAGAAAGCCCCTGTGGTGGACGACGAGAGTTGCTGGTACCGGGTAGCACAGACACGACGGGACCCTTAAGGGCGAAGAAAGTCATTGATCGAGTTCCCAGTCCACATATCAAATGCCCTGAGGATCTTAGATTAGATGGATATGTGCGCTATATAAAACTACACTATTATTATGCCGAAAGATGGCAATGTTGTACGCATTTCTGAAACTTGCAGCATAAGGGTTGATACGTACGCAAGATTATGTAGCCATCATTAAAAAATGCACCATCCTCTATTGATCCACGACATTCTGAAATTCCAAATTCTGTTTTGTCCTCAGCAAGGTCATGATATTCACCATCCACAACGAAGGTCATGTTTTTCATACAGCCTATAAATCCTTCACGAACCTAGTAGTTAAAAAATATGTAATGAATACAGTAAACATATACTATAAAGTATAACATACATTAATATATGGTATGGTTTTTTTTTAATTATTATTTTCTATTCAGAGTAAAAGCTAAATAATGAAAACAATGATTTAAACAACCATGGAGTAATAATAATTATCCATGAAACAACCAACCGATACTTTCTCAAAAGTTAATGTCTGTCCAAAAAATGGCAAAATGTCATCATTAATATATAAATGATTTGCTTTTCTCAATACAATATAGTTTTTAAATTTTCTTTTATAAGAAACTAGTCTGTTACTAAATTGATAAGCAACACTCACAGGCATGTCATTTGCTTCTAGATCATCTGGTAAGCCTCCGACATATTGTTTTCCTAAATTATTGATGAACTTTCCAGTACTAGGGCTTTCACCTCGACTTTCTAATACACCATCAATAAAAATTTCTCCAATTTGTAGATTTCTACTGACTTGAACCTAAAAAGAATAAACAATATTGAAAATAATGTAGTACCATATTACTGTTATTCAAATCTCAAATATTATCACCGTTAAATGGTTTACGTAGGTCTCACATGTAATATAATCATTTCTCTTAAAAATGTAGCTTAGACATGTCCATATCTGAAAGCCTACGTTAGACAAAATGATTGATGAAAGACTCCCACTCGGAAAGATTTTAATATCACAAATTCATAGGACTTCGAATGCAAATTACTAGGGGTCCCAGGTCTCCCGGGAGTCTCCCGAGAATTGTAACGGCCTCCCACACTCCCGCAAGCAAGAAAGAATCTACTAGAAACCGAAAGTAAAGCACCTACTACTACTTTGCAATCAAGTATCTTATTTCTTCTTTTTCCAATACACACGTTCATACTCTATTGTCGTAGTTCTAAAACCTGATGATACGATTCTCTTGTATAGGGGTAAAAGGATTAGTAGGAACAGAGCCGCGATGTGAATGCCCTTTTCTTGATCAATGGGTGTCGGTATGCACATGAAAAATAAAATTAATTATGTTTAAGAAATCTCAATTAACCAGATCTCCCAGAAGGGATTTCTCCAAACTTGGGACCCCTGAATTACTCAATTTAACACATTACAACAGCGCACTGGTTTTTGGCCTCATACTGGTGATGCTTTTTCTTTTTAAAGATACGTATTAATAAAATGTTTTTTTTTTTTTAAACCACATTTATAGAGGGTGACCCTTCCATCATATCCTAGTACATCGGCTGATATTCAAGGGCCCTTTGAAAATGAAATAATGTGATGATTTATCAGCAAAGTCTCATTATGAGGGGATGTTTATTTCAGTCGTGAGAAAAAAGTCCTGCCTCTTAATTTCATTAGAGATTGGAAGGAAAGCAAAGGCAAGTTTTAAGCTCTTTCTTAAAGTGGCCGAAGAAGGATTATAAACTGGCGGATCATTCTACAATAAAGACCTTGTCCCAAATGTTTTAAGTCGATATTTGGGTGTGAACAGCATTGAAGTGCTTGAAGTAGATCGAAGTGTTCTTGTCAAATTAAAACTTGATATCTGTAAAACATCAGTACATTTATGTCAATAAAAGATTTTTATTTTATTTTCAGTTAAAATAAAACTAGACCTGTGCAGGGGTGTCGTTTATATTGTTAAGTTAATATAAATTATAATGTGCAATACTGTACAGGTGGGAATCTAGAAAAAAATCAGGTAGGTAGGGGCTATGTGACATACTATACAGTCTAAGGCCTCAGCAGTAGCGGATCTAGAGGGTGCGCAGGGCGCAAGCCCCTCCATAAATGATTTGCGCCCCCACCCCAATCGCCACCCCCCCCCCACAAAATCATTTGCAAGTAGTTAAAAATCCCCTAAAATCACCTTATTTTGGGAGTTAGCACACCTCAACTGATCATCGAGCCCCCACTTCACCTTCGCGCCCCCACCCGCCCCCCCCCTCCC